TTAACACTATGCGACCGCATATGCATATCGTGGAGGAAAAAATCTGATTTCCTTATATGACTCAAACTCTCACGAAAGCGAATCTTGGGGTGCCTTTTAAAACCCTAGAGCCTTTCAGAACACATGAGAACACATTCTAAGGACTTTTGGAGAAGAGAAGAAGCCAACAATACGAAGATCGAAGCCAAGAACATGAGAATCAATTCAAGAACTATATTGGGCAATGTCGATTCTTTAATATTCTTTTTGTTTTCTCCTTCATAACATGCTATGCTAATTTTCTATGTACTAGAAGAACGATGAACCATGTGATATGAGTTTTAATTTTTTTAATTTATATATTTGAAATTGAAACACGCTTTTGAATATTGAACAATTTATATGATTTTATTTTCTCCACAATTATTGTGAACGTTAGTTGTGTGAATTAGGTGGCTTATTTTATGTATTCGAAAGAAGAAAAATAGGTTTGACATATATAAATTGTCATAATGTCCGATAGAAGATAAAAATATATCACTATGCCTTATGTGAATCGTTTAATCGTTCATCAAAATTCAAACATTTTTATATATTCGTATTCATCATAGAAATATAGGTAGGTTATATATAAAAGTAGGTTTAACAGTACTCGAAAGAGATTGTTAAATATAATAAGAACATTGATTCATGAAATTCAATCGGGTTGTTAACGTGTAAAAAAGTAGGGTTAAAACTAATTATTGCATGAGAATTCGGGATCCTAGTATAAATGTCATTCATTACAACACATTAACTTACATTTTATATAATTTGCATTTAGTTTAATTAATTTACTTATAATTGCATAAGTAGCTTATTTTAATTATAATTTTGTCACGAACAAACCTTCGCATTATCCTTGTTTTAGTTAAGGTCGTATTAATTTAAATTGAAACAAATCTATCTCTTTGGGACGATACTTGAACTCAAAATTTACTTTATTACTTGTTAACGAATCGTACACTTGCGGTAATTTTAATTCAAAATAGATTTTCGTGAACATTAATAAAAAAAAAAGTGCTTTTAAACTTCGTAAAGCACTTATTAGGGGTGTCGAGTAGATCAAACCAGCATAACCCACACTTATTGATGACCCATTATAGTCATTAACAAGAGAAAAAAGTCTATTTATAGACATGGTGGGGCAAATCTTTTTTATTCAAATTTGTAAGTCTCTTCAAAGTTATGGTTGACAGATTACATCTCCACATACCCCTAACATAAGTGCCAAATAATTTGGTCAGTCTAGTGAGGTTTCTTAAGATACATTTTTTTCTGGACAGAATTTCCCTGGATCAAATGGCAAGAACCTCATAGGAAACTGGATTATACTATCGCAACGGAATAGAATGGAATGGAATTATATAAATATAAATTCCGCAAATAAAAATAACAATAAATGTCAAAAATGTATGATTGTCTCAGAACAAAGCAAAATTCTCTTGCCTAAATCACTCCAAAAATATCTTTCAAGGACATTAACAACATCTGCAAAAGCCAACCAGTATGGCCAGGGAAAATTTAGGAGGCACCGATTCAGGCACCAACAACATCAGTTTCCTCTGCCATTGGCTCTTCAGCAGGCCTGTCCAACTTCACACCAACATCTTCACTATAATCACCATGAACCTACATGATCATTAAAAAATAATTAATTATTGACATGATTTGGTATTAACACCCCCAATTAGTAGCCACAAAATCTAATATTCAACTCTTACGCATGTGCAATTGAGAGTACATAACAGAGTTCATAAAAGAAAGTGAAAGAAGCTTGCCTCCATCAACTTGCCAAGGTCGAATTTGGGAGCTTTCAGGATCTTAACCTTCCGAATATAAACATTTTGCAGAGGGTAAATACTAGAAGTTGCCTTCTCAATCTCCTTCCCAATTGACTCAGGAATGAACTTCTGAACCAAATCCTTGAGATCACAAGATTGTGCCTGGTTGATCATGATCTCCCGCATCTTCCGTCGGATCTATGAAACCATGAAAGAGAAAGATAAATGACAATGGTAAACAAAATAGACAATTACAGAAAACCCTTAGCTACATGAATACAACAATGGCAATAAAAATGATCAATTTTAACATATTTGCTATGTAGAACTTCAGTTTATATTCTTACCCTTTGCTTGGGCTTTCATCTTCGATTCCCAACTGAGCTTCGCTCTTTGGGCCATTTAATTTGGGTTGCACTTTTAGTATGTCAACACAAATATCATTATAGGAATTAAAACAATTCAAAGGTGTGGTATTTAGGGAATATTTATTGAAAGAAGACTACAAAATGATGATGTCTATTATGTGTTTTCATAAAAAATAAAAAATAAATAAAAAGAAGAAGAAGAAGAAGATAAAAAATATTTTTAAAAAAATTGGATTTATAATTGTGTTGGTTTATATTGATAATTTAAATCTACTAGGAACTCATAAAGAGCTCAACAATACTGCAATTACTTTAAAATGAATTTGAGATTTAAAAAAATTCGAAAAAAATCAATTTTTTTCTTGCAAACTGAACATTTTCCAAAAAGATTATAAGTTCATCAATCTTCATGAATAGAAAAGTTACTAAAATATTTTTGTCTAGATAAAACACATTCATCGATATTACATATAGTTGTTCAATCACTTGATGTGAAAAAATATCAATTTCGTCTACTTAAAGATGGAAAAAAGGTTATTGATCCTAAAGGGCTATTCCGAAGTGCAATTAAAGCATTAATCTATCTGGCAAATTGCACACGATCAGACATAGCTTCTTCTATAAGTCTCCTTGCAAAATATAGTTCTGCACCAACCCAATGATATTGGAGAAGTATAAAACACAAATTTCATTACCTAAAAGATAATATTAACTTGAGATTATTTTATTTATAAAATAGGAAGAACGGCTATATCATGGAGATCCTTGAAGTAAACTTCGATAAAAACATTTTCAAATCATTGTGAAATTATTGCAATTCATGAAACAAATCGAGAATGTATATAATCATTAAATATAGCTCATTAGATCCAGGCATCGTGGATTGGTTTCAATAAAAGATAGCCCAATAATATCGTATTAAGACAATGCAACTTGTATTATAAAAATCAAATGAGGTTATATCAAAATGAATAGAACAAATCATATTTCTTCAAAATAATTCTGTACATGAGTTTCAAAATTCTAGTGACATCGATATTCAATAAATTTACTCAAACAATAATACGATTGGCTTATTCATAAAAGCATTGATGACGTCTACACTTGAAAACTCGGTCTACAATATTAGAACACGCCATTCAAAGATTTTCAATGATATTAGAGGGACATATTGTACTCTTTTTTTTTTTGTCCAAGTTGTCTCAAAGTTTTCTTGAAAAAATTTTAGTGACGCGCACCGTGATACTCCGAATTCTTTTACAACTAATTATACTCTTTTTTACTTAGTTTGATAATTTTTTACATGCGAGTTTTTTTCCCAAACAAGGTTTTTAAATGTGGAAATTATGTAGTTAGTCATTCAAGAGGGAGTATTTTAAATTAATTATTACATGTGAACGGCTGATTTACCCCTACAACCCTAACTAATTCTTATATATAAATAACGAGTCACAGTAAAATACATTCAAAGATATAGAATGTCTTCTCTTCTTGTTTATCTCTAATTTATATCATATATGTTATTATTTTTAATAAATAATATTTATATCATATTTTATATAATACAAAATCTAAACAATTAAACACTTTAATTAAATTGTCATGGCACAATTACTCTAATATAGTTTGTATTATTTAAAGTTTATTTGTTTACGAGGCATTAAATATATGATACTAACGTACTATAGTTTCTCATCATTTCAATCATACATTCTCTCAATAAAATAATTTTACATGAAAATTAAAAGATTTTCCCTACTTTCCAAAATGTATTATAATGCATTATCATATGAAAGATAAACAATTAATTTAAGATTAAAAAACGTGTCATATTATTAACCCTTCAAAAAGAATATTCAAATTATGAATTATGCTTGGTGCACATAAAAGTGTACACAAGGGTGTCCATTCTCTCACATAGATTGGGATCCACATTTTTTTATGTACACAAGGGTGTCTATTCCTTCACGGGGGTGGGATGTGGATCCCACCTCATATGAGGGAATGAACACCCTAATGTACAAAAAATATTTACACAAAGCAAGGTCCATTAATTGATACGTAGAAAAATTAGATACACTTTATATTTTACATATATTAATAAGCATGATTAATGCACCTTTCAACTTCACATAAAAGTTGAATTTAGATCTACATCTTACTTGACATAAAAGTTTACATCATGGCACGTGACATTTTATCATTTAACTAATTCAAACACAATAATCTCTTTCATCCAATTATCTCATGCCACATGCCTTTCAGCACTGCTTGTGGATGGTTTCTTCTATCAAAATAGAATAATCAAACATATATTATTTTAACCCAAAAAAAAAAAAAAGTGCTTTTGAACTTCACAAAGCACTCGTTAGGGGTGTCTTAAGTAGATCAAACCAGCATAACCCACATTTTAGCATGCCAGACGCTAGGACGGAAAAAGTCTGAAATGACCCATTATGGACATAGTGAGGATAATACTGTTTCAATGATGCATCAAACCTTCAGAACCTTCTTTTGCATTAAGCAAGTACCAAATAATTTGGTCAGTCGAATGAGGTTTCTTAAGATACATTTTTTTCTCGACAGAATTTCCCCGATCAAATGGCAAGAACCACATAGGAAACTTGATTATACTATCTCAATGGAATGGACTGATTATAAATATAAATTCCGCAAATAAAAATAACAATAAATGTCAAAACCGTATGATTCTCTCAGAACAAAACAAAATTATCTTTGCTGAATCACTCCAAGAAAAATCTTTCAAGGAAATTAACACCAGCTGCAAAAGCCAGCCAGTATGACCAAGGAAAATTTAGGAGGAGCCGATTCAGGCACCAACAACTTCAGTTTCCTCTGCCATTGGCTCTTCAGCAGGCCTGTCCAACTTCACACCAACATCTTCACTATAATCACCATGAACCTACATGATCATGAAAAAATATTTATTATTGACATGATTTGGTATTAACACCCCCAATTAGCCACAGAATCTAAAATTCAAGCTAGCCCCAACTTAAAGGTCTGAACCATATGATGTGCAATAGAGAACACAACAGAGTTCATAAAAGAGAGTGAAAGAAACTTGCCTCCATCAACTTGCCAAGGTCGAATTTGGGAGCTTTCAGGATCTTAACCTTCCGAATATAAACATTTTGCAGAGGGTAAATACTAGAAGTTGCTTTCTCAATCTCCTTCCCAATTGACTCAGGAATGAACTTCTGAACCAAATCCTTGAGATCACAAGATTGTGCCTGGTTGATCATGATCTCCCTCATCTTCCGTCGGATCTATAAAACCATGAAAGAGAAAGATAAATGACAATGGTAAACAAAATAGACAATTACAGAAAACCCTTAGCTACATGAATACAACAATGGAAATAAAAAAGATCAATTTTAACATATTTTGATACATCTTGAAGTCAAATATAAGCATATAAATAAATGTGTAACGAAAACATCAGGTAACAGATTATTCCAATTTACCTGGCGAATCTGGCTTGACTGTGCATAACAAGTCCTCTTTTGTTGGTTTGCACGCTTCTTAGTGAAACCAATGCAGAACATCCTCAACGTATAGTTATCAGTTGTCTTAACATCAACGTGAGCTTCAATCAGTGATTGCCATTTCCTCACAAGTGACCTCAATTTATCAGTTGTAAAATTCATGCCCTGCAATTTCAACGAGAAAGAATGGCCATTAGAAATTTCTCTTTAATAAGGCATTTACACTAGAGAAGTTGAATTAGATACTTCAGCTTTATCATACCCAGAAGTTTGTGAGAACATTCTTCCCCTGAACATCCTCAGCTCTCAATCGGATCTTTCTGAAGGAGTGGTCCTCATCACCTTGAAGATCAGCCAAGGACACTTCAAACACACGATGCTTAAGTCCTTCTGAAGCAATCTGATTGAGAAAATGTCACTATCAACTAAATTGCTTCTATGTAGGATGATAGTCTACGAAATATTTGTCAAAAAAATATACAATACGTGATGTTTGTTCCATCAGTTGTGAGGCATCAACCACGTTCAACAGCACAAGATTCCATATTATTTTAGTTTGATAGTTTAGATACATATAGAACACAACATAAACAAGTGGCAGAAGACATCAAGAAGATATTCCAAGTAATTACCTTCTTTTTTCAAGCAGTTGAGATATAAAAAAGGAATGATTGTATCAATGTTTAGGCTTGTAAGTGCAAGGTATAAATCATTGCATACATATTTATTAGATTCCTTGCTTAACTTTAACTAAATAAGGAACTCAACTATTATACTCATCCACCATTACAATATATTATCTAGTAAACAAAGAGAAGTAGACGATGCAAAAACCTTAATTTCAGTATGACACAGAAGCCAAAGCCACTTACCAAAATTGTGTAAACATTCTTGCAAGTTATTCATGAGTCTAACATTTACCAAGTACATATCAATCTCATTATTTCAAATACATAAGCAGCATAGATATGGAAAGTCATGGAATGCCTAAACCACACAGCATTATTAACAACCTTAATAATCCTTGAATATATATATATGTATAATGTATCTTTTCATAGGAGATGCAAGTTACAAATTAAACCCCAAAACACAATTAAAAGGAAACAAAATAAAACACGTTTATAACCTAACAGCAACAAACAATCTTGAAAGATCAAATTACTCAAACATCCCACAAATTTACAATCATATAACCGAAATAAACAATGGATTGATTTAAAGTACAGCAAAAACAAAAACGAATCACAAACAATTATCAGTGAAATGTGAATTATTTAATAACTGAAAATTTTTACCTTTGTACCTTGGGTACGAGTAACTAGTGTTTTGCCGATGTTTCTGGTATTGAAAACTGACGGCGCTTTGATATCATACCAGTCCTTTTTTGCGAATGGATCAACCCTATACATACACATATGTTCAAAAGATCTTTCGAAAAAACGAATAAATCTAGATATTATAAAACAGGGAAAATAAAAACTCACACTTTCTTCTTCCCTCCCTTCTTTCCCTTCGAAATCCTCTTGTTCTTCCTATTCCACGTCAGATAATTCATCCATATTAACAATCAAATCAGGAATTCATATTATATACACGATATGTATGTCTATGCGTGCGCATACACAGAGAGAGAGAGATTACCCGACGGCCATGGCGGCGGCTACTTGGCTTTGTTATGCACAAACAGCAGAGGGAAAACTCAGTTGTACAAATTGCGAGCACAAAACCCTAATTTGGTGATTTATATGAGGTGCGGAGCAGCGGAAGAGAATAGTGGCATTATGCTGTTGTACCTAGGGGACTGTTTCGTCTTTTCAGTAATTGTTACAGTGTATTTTCATCTTGATAGATACTATCATGTATTATTTTGATAATTATATTTGCACAACATTTTTTTAGTTGCACAATATTTTAATTACAACAAATATTTTTGAACTTTACTCATTTATGTTTTCGATTTTTTTACGGGCATTCTCAATTGAAATTTTGATAGATTTAAAAAAATAATAATAATTATATTACCACCACAATATTTAACTGGTACGCAACATATTAAAAAAAATCTTTTTACTTATATGGAAATGTTTAAAATGACACAAGTAATCAAACTTCAAATATTTTTTTATTGATATACCATAGTTTGATTAAAATAAAATAAAATACAGAAACATTTGTGACTTCGCTTGAATTCTTTAACAAGCTCAATCGAGAATATACTCCTAAAACTCAAACAATTCAAGGTGAAAACTTCATTCTAGATCGACACACACCCGAGCAAAAATCTCAAAATTCGGGTAAAATTGGCTGATGCGGCCCATATTGAAGTGTTCATGAGATGACCAATGATTCTTGATTTTGTTATTTGTTAGGGGGTGGTGTGGTAGGAAATCCAAAAATGAAGGAAGCCAAATAAATAAACTAGAAGATGAAGTACCATAATAATCTAAAAATTTCTTTCGAAGTCAGTGATGTATCTTCAACGATGAGCAAGATTTAAAAAAAAAAAAAAACATCCAACTTGGAATTGCAAAACCAAAGAAAACCCAGAATTTCTCTTTCCATAATTGCTGAAGAGTAAAAAAATATATATATCAAAAAATTAAAAGTTGAAACTTAAGTATACTAAAATGGTAAATCCTTAATCCTTATTTTTCACTGGATTCTCAATACTTAAGAACAAGCCCACAAGGTTTAGAACACGAGAAAAAGAACTTGTGAGAGAGAGACTTATGGAGGATGAGAGAGATCCAGTGAAAACGAAATGGGTAATATAGAAGAAAGGGCATGTAGGTGTCGTGTGCCCTTTCATTTTTTTTCCTTTTAAACGTGTAGGGTTGTATTTTTAAATTAATAGGGGTGTATTTATCAACAACGTATCTCAATAAATAAATGTTACTTATCATTATGATGTTATAATATCAATGATGTGACAAACTATTTTAATTTGATTCTTAATTTTTGAATATTGTTCTCAACTTAGATTTTGATGGATTTTAAAATATAATAAATCCTAATGAATTTGTTAGATTTAAATAGACTTTCACAAAATCAATAAGAATTTTATTAAAAATGATGAAATTTTAAAATAGTTTGTCATGTGTATTTTTTTAGTTTGAATTCCATCCAAATATTTTAAGTTCCTTCTACTGATGAAATTAAATTTTAATGAAAATTTCAATTGGGATACCTAGATTTTAATGAATTTCATTGAAATCCATTAAAATCTCAATTGGGGACACCTGAATTTAGAATAACTTTTAAAATCTATCAAAATCTTAGTTGAGAACACCCCTTACTATATTCTTATCCTCAACTTTTTATTATTTTCGTACATGTTGTTTCTGATGGTGATTTTCATCTAAAAAATCTGTTATAAGGGTATAAAAGGAGTTATTCGCCACTCGTATTTTAACGAGCAAAACTAAAAATAAATGCAAAATTTTGACATAACATTTGTACCTCATTTTAATTCATGTTAGCAAAATATTAGACAAAAATCGTGGTTAGAGACTAAGTGTGTTAATTAATTGAATGCTAATTATAATAATTCGACAAAGTTAAAGACTTAAGTGCAAAATTGATCCAAAATTGAGGACCTTCATTGTTATTAAATTATGGTATTGATAATAAATTATTTAATATTGTTGTAAAATTATGAGATGATTATTGATGATTATTTAGTTCATTTGATGGCCATTATTTTGAGAAAATAGAATTTTGAATAGTAATTTTTAAAAGGTAAAAAAAAAATTGGATTTACGTGTAAAATATTTTATTGTGTAAATGTGTGGTGAAAAACTGAATATGAAAATTAAAAAAATTTGAAATAATAATTGTCAATCTGGGGCTTAGTATTGTCATGATACAATTGTAATTCTTGTTTTGAACCATATAGATATGTGGCCTTGATTTTCAATAAAATACATATTTAAGTCTTGATTCTCTATTTTCTCTATCTATTTCTTTTCTTATATTTCTTTTTTGATCCTTTAGTTTTATAAAACACGTGGAACTCACCCAAAATAGATAGATAAGTTTGATAGTCTAAGACTAGCTAACAAAGATGGGGGTGAATTGATTTTTAAAACATTTTTGAGAAATTAAGTTATAATCAATAAGTAATAATTAGATAGATTGATTTAAATATCAAATACAAAATGAAAGCAATAAACGAAGAGGGATAGAGAGTGCAAACAATATATTTGTGGAGGTTTGATCGAACGCAATGATCTACGTTCCCTGTTATCAAGCTCTCCGGCACGAGTAATGCCAATTTCACTATGTTGATTGACTTATGGTGCAATCCAACTCTTTACAATACTTCCGGTGACTTACAAGTAAGGAGCGCCGATCCTTTTACAATGTTGAGCTTTCCAGGACCTCAACATGCCGCACACTATTGAGCTTTACGGGACCTCAATANAGAATTAATTTGATAAAAAGACTTTTCAATTGTAAAGTGATTTGCTAATGAGTGATATGAGAAATCCATACAATATTTGCTCAAAGGAATATTAATTGAATGTTCAAAAGTTCACTTTACAAATGGTAGGTGAGTTGGTATTTATAGTAGTTAAAAAAGCTAACTTCTCTGCCAAACCTGACGACCCATCAGGACGTCCTGTTCAGAACGGACGACCCCAGAAAGTAGCCGTTTGAAACTTGTCAGAACGATAAAAAATCCGACCGTTGCTAGCGAAACGGATGTCCGGATGACCAGAGTTTTTCTGGGTCAAAATTTTGGTTTTGTTTGCAGTAAGTAAATGTTTTGCATGACATTTTTTGCTAGGTATTTCAAGGTAAGTGAGTGTTAATAGTATTCAAGATTAGGTTGAAAAATCTTACCTTTGAAAAATAATTTTTGTGCAAAAAATTTTAATGACGTGATTTTTTATCGTGTATAAGAAATTCATTATTTGAGCTTTCAATGTGTCTTTGCCATGAATTAAAGTAGGAAAAAGTTATATTTCTTAATTGGATTTGTTGATGGCAGAAATCGGATCTCCTCTCAATTAACTATGATTTTCTCCTCCTAAGCAATCTAGTTTCGATGCTCAAACTTGGAGCAAGAAGAGAAATTGTTATTTGAGAGGGAAATATTTGAATTGCATGATTTCTCTTTGAATGAGGGATAATTATAGATTTTCCTCTAAACTTTAGGGTAATTTGGCCATTTAAGAAAATGACAAAGGGTGGCTCCTTACTAGTGAACTTGTAACTGATTTTGTCAAGACTATCGTACTTTCTTCGTTTGCCCACGTATATTTTTTATTTACAGCCTGTAGCAAGTCTAGATGGGAGAGGCTTTGCTAGCTGTTATGTGAACCTTACATGGTCGTGTTTCTCTCGCATCGCTCTATCCTTCACATACAGTATGATAGATTCACAGATCACATTGCGAGGATCAACAAATAGTCCCCAAAGTCCCATTTTATTATTTATATTAAATCTTAGGATTTTTAATTGTTAAGTGTTATGGGCCATATATGTTTTTAATGTGCATAGGTGTAATGCATAACATGGCCCATCTATATTACGATTCAACCATATGTCTATTCATCATCAACGATTAGGATGGTTTGCTGACATAATTTCGACGGATTACACTTTTCGCCGTAATCTACAAATATGTCATTATTTTCATTGGCATTTACTTTGCTGGATTTTACATTCCTTGTTTTTTTTTCATCATTTCATTTGTGGTCTCTTTTTTCCTTCAAGCTCTTCTCACGATGTCTTCCCAAACTGATTTTTTGGACATATGTTATGAATTCGACTCTATCACTTCTAGTCTTAGGAGCGATACTCCTAGTGATTCTTCTTCTTCTATAGAAGTGCTGTATATTGATGTGCTCCCTTATAGCTACTCATTCGGGTGTATGTGTTAACCTAGCACTTTTTGGCCAAGAGGGTAGTTTTGGCCGAGTGTTGGGACACATATTAGGGCAGATGAGCCTTCGCATAGGCCTATTAACCTTAGTCACAATGAGGAGACTTTTGGAGTCTTAAGGACTTCTGCCACTCTTATTGAACAAGATTTATTTGATATTAGAGCTCGATTTAATATTCCTAATGATATAGAGTTGTTGTGTTCTTATCAGTTTTACATGGTGTGTCATTCTCTTCCAGGTTGCATAACTATTCACAAGCATTCTAATGACGTGGGACTCAGAGTCCATTTTTACCATTTTTTTCATAAACATTCTTTCTTCTTGAAACCTTGCTCCTATCTAACTTTGTCCAAATGGATGGGCACAATTGGTTGGTCACTGGAGTGATTTGTCAATATCTTTGTCTATGAAAGAAGAAGAGGAGTTAGAAATAGCAGTTTATTTCTCCATGTGGCTTTGTAGTTTCGTTCTTCTATATAAGGACGAATGTATAAGAGTTGAAAATTTTAAAGCATCTTCTAGAATGGCAGGTGGATACACTTATAGCAAGTTCCTCCCATATTAGCAAGCATTTATGGAGGACTTACATGAATGTTGAATTACGGTTAGGCTAGGACCTTTTCTCAATTTTACATTCATTTTCTGGACACTTTCTTTATGTTTGGGCTGCAACTTATTTTGTTCGAGGTATTTGTGCTCATGTGGACAAGAATTATTCTCATCCTATAATCTAAAGATATGATGGCACTTCGAATGCTTTC